TTCCTGGGTCCAATTTACAGTGTGATGATTAGTTCGGCCCACAAACTCAGACACCCCAGAATGCAAAAATAATCCTCTTTATGTGGTAGGGTTTGCTCCTGATTTTGAATCTAGGTTCGGAACCAGTAGTTTGTTATTCTGTATCCTAGACAACAATAGTCAAGCGGTTTCTTCAACATATTTGCCCTCTCCGCAATTGCATTGGAGACATTTGATAACGGTGATTCCTCTTGTATAGAAATGAGATCTCTCGGTCACAGTGATTGCCGACAAACTTGAGACACATCTATAGATCACTCTCATTCAAACTGCCAAAATAAGCCTTTCATATGCGGTTGGAGTCGGTGAGCTATTTATCCCACAGTACTTACCTCTTTGAGTAGGCATTAGCCTCTTGATGCCTCCCACCGTCAAACCGTACTTCCATTGTGCTAGCGTATCAGGAAAGTTCATACTTGACTTCGAAGCTATGAGCAGATGCTTCACTAGACATTATGAAAAGATGTTTCCGCCAATATTTGAATTTTGCGTTTATATCTACTTTTCCTTGACGCAAAAGGCTTGCACTCCGTTGGCGAGAGCGCAGAGACGAACGACGGATTCGGCCAGTGGTTTACAAATTCAATCTCAGGAAAACGTTTAGAAAGGGCTGCGTTTTATTTTCCCTCTCAGGAGTGATATCAGTATAGCTTTTTGAAATGGTTGAAATTCTGACTTGTAGGGTTGCATGGGAATTAACGAGCATCAAAATAATCGTAAAGTAACACAGGCCTAGACTTGAGGTGTGCATCAGTTTCGTCTCTCATAGCCTCGAACAAGTCCAGCGGAAAGTGATGATGTACAACCAAAGATTCGCTGTCTTTTTCTTCAGTGACTTTTACTTTATCCTAATCCGCGTTTAACGAGGTACTTGTATTAATCTGTAAACAAAAATCTGAATCAGCCGTCTAGGTTTAGCTGGGATTCGTCAGTAATTGACTTACTTCCTGAAGCAAAATGAATCTGTAAACAACCGAACGCAATAAATGAAAGTGCCAAAGCCAAGGCAGACAGTTTAATCCTTTTTGTTGAGAAGCAAGATAGTTCCTCAAATGGGATGTGAAAAGTGAACTAAATGCACACCCTGTGCCGAAACACAAATAACTTGGAGTTAATAGAATGAAAAACAATCTTGACGTAAATTGTAAGTCAACACACTTCCGCTGGCATATAACGTTTCCTACTTCTCGTGAATGTGGTTCTGTAGCGATCTAAGTAGTGGTTGTGCCCAGAGCACTACCATCATCAAGCCGAATCCCAGGTCAAAGGAGAAGACAGAAATCAGAAGAATGAGGGATTTCTTGTGCACATAACCCTGAGTTGCGGTCCCAGGCAGCAGTGGCCAATGGCGAAGCCAGGGCTGATTTTGACTGCTTTCAGTCGTGCCCGAGAATAGGTCCATGTGTGATAGGTAGTGGTGTTAGTTGCTTTTACATGACTGGGAAGTGAGCTCACCTGGTGTACGATTGGCGTGCTGCATTGCTCGAGGTGGTGTCGCCTGTAGAAGCCCCTGCTGCGTAGGCTGGAAGTGGCATGTTCAAGTGGCCCTTGGGCAACCGAGTGTGTGTGTGTGTGCGCGCGCGTAGAAGTCGGAACCTGTGAAGTTACATGACGTTGACGCAGCGGGGACAGGATTGTTGACTGTCTGCTACAGTTCTTACACAGTCTTGCCATCTAAAATATGCAGACTTGTCCTGTCTTCTCATGAAGCTCCAGCCCAAAGTACTAGTTGCTTGTCGTTATACACAACCGCTTGCTTACACTTCGAGATGAAACGGAACTGAATAGGAATTGGAAACAAATTAATGGTGACGGCACATGCGCGAGAATAAGTGAGTCCAATATCCTTTACGTTTTTGGTATCCTTTCTGCAATATAGCTACAAACTATCTTATTTTCACTGACGTGGCTTGATGAGAAGGCATTGTGACAAACACTAGGAAGGCTCAACTGATTATCTTTGACATCA